CTTTTCCAGGGAAGGTGCCCTTATAAGGGCGCTATCAAGCCACAACTTTACGTCCCAAACGCCCCCTTGCCCGCCCGCCCACAAATGGACGACTGTTCCTGACGCTCTAATTGATTCATTTGCTAAGCAAATTATGAAGCGAAGGGATTGGTATGAAGCGGCCGTGATGCTGCATGGATATATGAGTACACATATGCAGCCGTACCTTCGGTAGCGGTTATTGGTAAGATGCGGGAAACTCGTCCAAAATTGATTGCTAGCACAGCTCTTTTTCGCAGGATTTTGACCGTTTCACTCCGTTCTTTCGCCATTTCCCCACTATAAGCGCCCTACTAGCTAGTATTTTAGGCCGAGCACCGAATCATCGTGCCAACTGCCTTTAATGTCCGCCGCCCCAAGAAAGAACAACTGAGCGGTTCTCCGTCAGAGGGCATCTAGCAAGTGGGCGGTCCAACTGAGCGGGCGTTAGAACTAGAACTTTCAGCGGCTGTAGCACGCTCTCGCTCGCTGGAGTCGCGAGAGTGGGACAGTCTCTTAGCTTGGAGGCTGGATTACTTGCACAAGGTCAGCGCGGGGCTATCTTTAAAAGGTGGGGTTGAATGGCCGCCAAAGGAATTTATGGAAAGAGATAGGATTAATAGTATCGAACATGTTGTTCCCATCATATTCATTTGTACTGCTTCAGAGTCTGTGCTTCAAACGTCATCGATTGTATGGAGTTGGCAGATTTCCATCAGGCTAGCCATTTGTACGAGCACTGCCTTGATTTCGTGAGTGTTTTATGAAATTGTGTGTTTTGTGCCTTTCTTTCGCTGTACTTTTTATCGAGTAATGAGTAAACAAGGGGCTAAGGTAATGGTAAGTGTTCGAGCGTTTCACACGCCAGCATTTGGAGCGTTTTGATCATTGAGTGCATGTGATAGGCATGCGTTGTCACAAACAAATGACTGCGTTGCAACCGCGCGCGTACTTACCCAGTGTTTAGACGTCTTCATTTTGTATTTATCCATGACCTACCTCCTATTTATACGGTTATTTTTAAGATGAATGCGAACAGATGTGATACTCTAAACACGGAATCGTGGACAGCGTTAAAGGATCGAAACCCGAGACTGAGCAGTTCGATCATGGAGCGTATGATCCGTTCAGATCATAGTAACTCGCCACCTGTAAAGAAAAGCAGATTATAGTTAAGAAATTTAGGTATATATAAGGTTGTATGCAATTTGTATTCCAGTTTCAAAACTGTTATGGTGCTTTTTTGTATTGAAGACAGATGAAAGGTCCTGTATTGAAAGAATTCGTCATTTTCGCGCTACTTGTATACATCGCGTTCGATTTGATTTTAGACTTCAATCATTCATTGTTTCCTGCCTCATTGCGCTCTCTAAAACAGTAAGTTGATTGATTTACTGTGAAAAGAGGGTTAGGGTCGGTGATGTTAACGGGTGTGAATATATTGTGTGTATATGGCTTCATAATTAGTTCGCCGCCTTCTTCTTCTAGAATGTTCGATTTAGAACTAGAGTTTTTCTCTGGATTTCGAACCAAATTCGTCATACTATCGAACCAAAATGGATGTATAATGTTGCTTTTCATTTCCCTCATAATCGCCTTCTTTGGAATTCTTCTTTGCTAACCCGTTTTCGCCGCCCGCTAATTAAGGATTACGCCGCGCATGGGCAGTTGTAGCTTTAGGCATGACTGTTGCAATGTGATGATTTGCCTTTCGTCGCGAACAACCAAAGACACTGTACGGGATCGTCAAGTAGGCGGAGCCAGAAGGCGAAGTCATTGGCCCCGCCCACCCGGCAAACATCCGAACAGTGTCATTAAGTTTTCCTATCGAAATATTATGTATGTACAATGTGCGCCTATTGGAGTGTGTTCGTTTAATCATCGAAATAAATCTATTTTGTAAATTAGAACTGCAATGCCTGACGGTTTGCATCACCTTATTTCTAATAGTTGCACTCGTTAGTAGCGTTTGTAGGCAAGTTTCGCGATACCTCAATGGGCGGAGACGCAGGACAATGGTGCCTTCCGCGCTGGTGTGGCTTTCTTCTTAAAGTGGTCAAGAAGAGGGGCGCGTCAGCAAGGTCGTTCTCTGACCCCGCCCAGATGGTTGTCGCGGTATAGACGTTCAATAAAATATTACTCGACTAGGGAGTACTGCTCTTCTACAATGGGGCGTATGGATGTGGAGAAACTACGATATCTCGAAAGGGAGGATTTTCGAGTATTGATCGCTGTAAGATCTTTTAGTCTATTACTATTTTTTTGCACTATGTGCCTTTGCTGCCCCAGTCTTTTGAATCAGTTTTCTTAGCGACTTCCTCCCTCCCAGGGTTAATTTGTCTCCAGGTAATTGACCCTTTGGGCAATAATATCGCATCCGCTTGGCCCGATATCGCTTGTGGCCCCCGCGCCACAGGCACCTGCGCCAAAGTATTCTAATTCCCTGAATTCACTGAGACCTTGTCCCTAGGGTTTATTGACCCACCTGAACAAGAATATCACATCCGCCTAGCCCGAAACTGCCTGGGGCCTACATTACAGGTAGCGACGTGGCTGTTCTGACTCCGGCGCTTATGCCGCGGATTGGAAGCAGTTTCGGGCTAAGTGAATGTGATCTTCGTGTTCAGAAGATCAAACTACCCGTTTAGATAAATTTTCAGCCAAATATGTTCTCAAGAGGGAAAAGCCAATGAAAACTGACCTGGTTTTGGAAACTTTGGGTAACAAAGGATGAATAGTGCCTTATTTTTCTTTGTTCATTGAACTGATGAGTAAGGGCATTGTAGGCCATTGCTGTGAAAATATCATCAAGTAATTGCGTTTACATACGGGGTGGGGCGGTCGTATTTTGGTTGCTGGCAGTGATCGGGTATGAGTTGAATAGATATGGGAACCCCAGCGAAAATTAGAAAATGAAAAATTTATTTGGTTTTCATCTCACTGCATTCATACTGTCCGCCACAGCGAAAATTCTGAGGTAGTATTAGGTAATTGTTGGTTAATTTGGGGCAGTGGGAACGTGCAGTTGGGACTGAAACTCATGCTCGGTGAAAGGGAGGAGGGGCAAGGTTCAGCGTCGGGATGAGTGAAATGGCGGTGTCTGTACGACTGCCCTCCCTCCCATTACGCATTATTACAACTTCATACATCTACCGTTTGAATCTTTACTCTCCTTTCCGCAGCTTCATTCAGTTTTTGCCAGTAATTGAGTTCATTTAGGTCGAAATGGGAATGAAGAATCACGAAGTTGTTCCTTTACCGTTGATTTCATCGATAGCAGGAATTCATCGAGGAGCTGTAGCACGGATTCTGTCCACACTCTGCAAACATTCCCTTGTTGCCTTTCGAGAGAAGCAAAAAGTGTTCGTTATAGCTCGATTGTTCTAGTCCCTTTATATGTATCGCCACATTTGGACCTAAGACCTTTGGGCGCGCGTAAGAAGCTAGTCAACGATTACTTGCGTAGAATACTTTGAATGGCGATGTAAAAACCCCCACCATCTCCCTCAAAAGATCCTCTTCTCTCTTGCTTGTTACCTTCACTGATTTCTAGTCCCGTGAGACAGCCCGGTGCGTGAGTCGGCGCCTTTAGAGCGCGTTCATACTTTGCGATCATCGCTTTGACCGCGCGATGATATCACGCGAGCCTATCGATCGTAATGTATGAACACGCTTTTGCAATTGTAATAGAAAAACTCCCTCCAGTGACCGTAAGTGTGCTCTAAAATATAGGTCCAGTCGCTAGCTTCAAAGATTTCTGGAACTCTCTCGAAGTCCCTCTAGGAAAACTGTCATAGAGTGTAGTTCGCTGCGGACGGTTGGGCGTGTCAGGCGGGATGAGTTTGGCGCGGTGCCAAACCCGTTCTCCACCAGTTGTTAAAGCGAGCAAGTGATATGACTGTATCATATCGTTCGTATTACTCGTTTTCTACCACTTTTTGTCGCATGCGCGCTTCAACAAGAAGGCAGAGACGGCTTTGACGGCGTGACACACTCATACTGCCTGACACGCCCAACCGTCCGCAGCGAACTAGAGTATAGCTGTGTTCTCAAATATAAACCTTTAGTCGATGGTTACCGTCTTACCGTACTCGGATACGATTTCCTTGCCCTGAAAGCGCTGTGTACTCGTGGCGTTGTGGGCAGTGTAGGGAATCAAATTGGAGTTGGAAAAGAATCAGACGTCTATGTTGGCGGTGATCCTGATAGAAATGTACGTTTGTAATTATCCACAATTTTTTTGTCCTTTTTCGATGATTCATCGAACTAAGAATCATTCAGGATTTGCGCTTGAAATTTCATCGACTTGGCAGGACGTCTTTTCGCAAAATTAAGGAGAAACGTGATTATCACAGAAAACGTCATTCAGCCTCTTGGCTTTACCTAAGCAGACTTGCTGCGACAAAGGTATTGGTTATTTGTTTTGTTTCCGCTTTTTACTACTACTACCTTGTCCGTGAAAGTGGATTTTCCTTCACTCACATTCATCAATTCCTGGGCTTCTTTGGATGCTTTTCGAATTTGGTCCTCGGCAGCGCCCAATTCGGCGCACGCCCCGCCCATTGTGGCTGGACCTTAGGTTACCTTGTATGTGCCCTGTAAATGTTGGCCTGTGCCACATCCATCCCTAAGCATGATCTGTTTCCTAAAAGTGATTTTCCACGTAGCCTCCAATTTTCGGGCGGTCATTCAGGTATACAGACACACATACCTTTTCTGCTTCAGATATGAAGAGATTTTAATTTTTGTATCTTTATTTGTTGTTATTTGCATTAACGTCTTTGAATGAATTCTCACTTTTAGCAACTAACTTTTGTTCCTGGAAACAAAATGCAAAGATGTATGTTATCTTTGTTTCTCAAAGTAAGGGCAGCATTTCAGGAGTATGCATTTCTGAAAGCTTTAGCAGACCGTGGATTCCCTGTCCCTCGACCAGTGGACGTCTGTCGTCATCTCGTAGTTATGGGTCTTATTGAAGGGCGGACTCTTTGCCATGTTGATCATGTAGAGGATGTTGGAGCACTGTATGACAGGTGAGAATCGCTTACTCATCTTATTTTCATCGATACCCGTCCTTGGATGCGTTTCCGCCTATAGCATTGGAGCGCTTTTGCAGGGACAGGGCAACGACGCGCGTCATCGTGAAGTCTGAACGCTGCCTAGGACATTATTCAGTCTGCTACCTAGGCGAATCGCAGAAGGAAACGCTTCTGCGAAAAGGTTCTATACGTATCGATAGACGGACCGAGAGGGTGAACCCGGCATTTCCGCTAAAAGGCAGATGATACCTATCGACAGGGAGAACCGGCGCTCTCCCGCGCTAAACGCTAGCTCTTTCCGCTCATCCATTCTTCCGACTCAACGAAATCTATACATATCCAGCTCTTCCCATGTTGGCACTGAATTCGCCGGCGTTTCGCTAGAGCGTTCGACAAACGCTGCTGACTGTGAACGCTGCCTAAACGTTTCCGGTCTCAGGTATAATCCCTATTTTCCGGCCGTTTACCTTCCTGTCAATCTCACTGCTTACGCGTTCGCAAAATTTTTGTCAAGTGGACTTGAAAAAACTCTTGAGCATCCACATAATTTTTAATCAAGTCGTAAGTTTTCAGGTTAATGTCGATTATTGTAAAATTTGGACGACATGGATTGATTCATGGTGATTTCAATGAGTTCAATGTAATGCTCTTGGAGGTGAGTTGAAACATGCTTTTTTTATTTTTTTTTAAGCCCAGAATATGAAGTGCGGAGACTGGACTTGAATTAAAAGATTCTTTTCGTTTCATAGTCGGAAAAATCTCTGTTTAAGGTCAGCCCCATGAGCTAAAAACCAGTTCTTATAAAATTTTTGAGATGTCGCTCGAGATCGAGTTAATCTTTCTACAAGCAGAGAAAACTGTAGTCCGAGATCGGTGCCACTGTCGTCAACTTGCCTTGCCAAAATATTTCCAATTGATTGCACTCGCTGTTGCTGTGCAGCTGTTGAGCCGTAGAAAATTACTTTATGCCTCGTAGCAGCCTCACAGCTCGAGACTTCGACTGTGGTGGCATGGCGTGCCAGGTTCCTGACTCCTGTTTTGTGTTCCTTTGCTAATTCTGCAACGAAC